TATATCAAGGCTTCTCTATTTCCTAGCTGATATGGTTTGGCTGTGTCCCCACCCAAATTTCACCTTGAATTGTAATAATCCCCACGTGTCAAGGGTGGAGCCCTGTAGACATAATTGAATCACGAAGGTGGTTTCCCCCATACTATTCTCATGGTAGTGAACGAGTCTCAAGAGATCTGATGGTTTTGTAAATGGAAGTTCCCCTGCACAGGCTCGTGCCTGCCTCCATGTAAGATGTGGCTTTGCTTCTCCTTTGCCTTCTGCCATGATTGTGAGGCCTCCCCAGCCATGTGGAACTGTGAGTCCATTAAAACTCTTTCCTTTATAAATTACCCAATCTGAGGTATGTCTTTATTAGCAGCGTGAGAGCAGACTAATACACTGGCCCATCCTCCTTCCTTCAAGTGGCCTGAAAACTACACCTCATATTTCCCTTAATCATATTCATATAATTATTATGAACTTATCAAAATTATGATGGTTAATCTGCATTTCCAGCTTCCTTTTGAAGAAAGACTGGAGAATGTCTGAACACCACCATCCTTCCCCTCTCTCTCTTCTTCCATGTAATTATTGCTTAGTTAATTCTTTACTCCTTTCCAAAATAATTATAATTAATAATATTTTCTGTCAACACATATAAAGCGTTATGAACATGTTTTATCTTTTTTCCACATCTTTTCTTATGTCTACCCTTTTATTTTTATTTTTATTTATTTATTTTTGCCATGGAGTCTTGCTCTGTCACCCAGGCTGGAGTGCAGTGGTGTGATCTCAGCTCACCATAACCTTCACCTCCTGGGTTCAAGCAATTCTCTTGCCTTAGCCTCTCGAGTAGATGGGATTACAGGCATGTGCCATCATACCCGGATAATGTTTGTATTTTTGTAGACATGGGGTTTCACTATGTTGGCCAGGCTGGTCTCAAACTCCCAACCTCAAGTGATCTGCCTACCTTGGCCTCCCAAAGTGTTGGGATTACAGGCATGAGCCACTGTACTCAGCCTGCCTACCCTTTCTTTCTAAGATAACTGCCTTTTGCTGAAAATATTCCTTAGTAGTTTTTTCATCAAGAGTTTTTGGGTTCATGTACATCCCAAATGCCCATAGTCCCTTATCATTCTTCAATGATGCACTAGAAGGGTTTGGAAGTCTGAGTCTCAGCACTCCGGAAGCAGTGGTCCTTGGTCTTCAGGCATCCACTGTGGCTGTTGGGAAGTCAGTTGACATTCCAGTTATCCTCCCATTTTAGGTTACCTGTGGTTGTGTTTATACAAGTCTCCTTGTCTCTACCATTGCCCTTTACTGAGCTAGATCTAACTGGAGATGTTTTACTTTTTTAACTGGGTTTGGTCTGGAAACTTATGTCCGTCTTCAATCCTGAAAATTCTTAGCCAAGATATCTTTCAGTATATCCTCTCCTGTCCTCATCTTTAAACCCTCTTAATGGTAGGCTGGGACTTTTTGTCCAAAACCATAGAATGTACAACACCAAGAGTGACCCCTAATTTAAACTATGGACTTTGGGAGAAAATGACGTCTCAATATAGGTTTATTGATGGTATCAGGTAATGTACCGTCTTGCTGCTGGGCGTTGACAGCGGAGGAAGCTATTACGTATGTGGGGGCAGGGCATATATGGGAACTCTCTGTACCTATGCTCAATTTTTCTGTGAAACTAAAACTGCTCTAAAAAATAAGTCCATTAAAAAAAAAAAACATGAGCTCGAGATTTAATAAAATTACTACTATTAACATTAAAAAAGGAAGTAGGCCAGATGCTGTGCCTCACGCCTGTAATCCCAGCACTTTGGGAGGCTGAGGCAGGAGGATTGCTTGAGCTCAGGACTTCAAGACCAACCTGGCCAACATAGTGAGAACCCTATCTCAATTAAAAAAATTGTTTTGACAAAAATATAAAAATGAAACAGAAGGGAAGATGGATGGACATAAAAGGATGTATGATATAATATTTGAGGTTGAATTAGTAGGACTTGGAATTGATTGAATGGAATTTGGAGTTGGTGAACCTGACTGAGGGGATATTGGTCTTCAATTCATAGTAATCATTTTTGATCAATGGCTGTTGTAGATTTTTCAGGATATTATACAATTCAGCTGTTACAAGAAGGTTCTTTTACAATCTAAAATTTAGGCCAGGTGTGGTGGCTCACACCTATAATCCCAGCACTTTGGGAGGCCGAGGCAGGCAGATCACCTGAGGTCAGGAGTTTGAGACCAGCTTGGCCAACATGGCAAACCCCATCTCTACTAAAAATACAAAAATTAGCTGGGTGTGGTCGTGCACACCTGTCATCCCAGCTACTCAGGAGGCTGAGATGGGAGGATTGCTTGAACCTGGGAAGTGGAGGGTGCCCAGATTGTGCCATTACACTCTAGCCTGGAAGACAGAAGCAGACTCCATCTAAATAAATAAATAAATAAAATAAAATTTAATACATCTATTCCAACATTGATCCACTAAAAAATAAAATAAAATTTAGTAAAATCTGCCTTTCCTTGAACTGAAAAAATTTTAAAAATTTAGCAGAATCTTAAAAATGTTCAATTTTCTTTTATAGATTTTAATTAATTTCTAGATTTTTTTTTTAAGTGTAGTTTTCTGCACCTGATTTCTTCTGTGGACATATGTTCTTGATGAACAAAAGGAGAAAACACTCTCTTTTTTTTTTTAATTTTGAGACGGAGTCTCGCTGTATCGCCAGGCCAGAGTGCAGTGGCACGATCTCAGCTCACTACAGTCTCCGCCTCCCTGGTTCAAGCGATTCTCCTGCCTCAGGCTCCCGAGTAGCTGGGAGTACAGGCGTGCACCACCAGGCCCGGCTAATTTTTGTATTTTTAGTACGGACTGGGTTTCACCATGTTGGCCAGAATGGTCTTGATCTCTTGACCTCATGATCTGCCCGCCTCAGCCTCCCAAAGTGTTGGGATTACAGGCATGAGCCAGTGTGCCCGGCTGAGAAAACATTCTCTATACACACATGTATTCAGTCCCAAAATATCAGTATTTCATCATCTAGCTCTGGATTCAGACCCAGGAAGTTGCTAGAGCTTCTGTTATCACTCCACCACGTCCACCCACTCCATGTGGCTTAGAGAAAACCTGTGAGGTTATAAAATGTATTAAAAAGTACAGCCGAACACTTGAAAAATCAGAAATGACTACCTCCTAGTCTCTGATTTTCCTTTTTTTTTTTTTTCTGAGACAAAGTCTCACTCTTGTTGCCCAGTGGTGCAATCTCGGCTCACTGCAACCTCCACCAGGTTCAAGTGATTCTCCTGCCTCAGCCTCCCAAGTAGCTGGGACCACAGGCACGCACCACCAAGCCCGGCTAATTTTGTATTTTTAGTAGAGACGGGGTTTCACCATGTTGGTCAGGCTGGTCTCAAACTCCTGACCTCAGTTATTCCATCCGCCTCGGCCTTCCAAAGCCCTGGGATTACAGCTGAGAGCCACCATGCCTGGTCTTGTTTACATTTTTATGTAATAAAATAAACAAAAAAGTTTTTTTGAGACAGGGTCTTGTTCTGTCTTACTGCAGTGCAGTGGCGTAATCATAGCTCACTGCAATCCTGACGTCTCAGGCTCAAGCAATCCCCCCATCTCAGCCTCCTGAGTAGCTGGGACTATAGGAATGCACACTGTGCCCAGCTATTTTTGTATTCTTATAGAGATGGGGTTTCACCATGCTGTCCAGGCCAGTCTCAAACTTCTGGGCTCAAATGATCCACCTGCATCGACTTTCCAAAGTGCTGGGATTACAGGCATGAGTCATTGCACCCAGCAAAATTAAATTTTTAAACCTTACCCTCAACCGTAATCACTGTTACAAAGTTTAAGCCTCTGCTATCACTAAAACAGTATGAAAAGGTGTTATAAGAGTTAAACGTCATCATGAATTGGTAAAATATGATACCATATTCGTATAGAACAATGGTCCCCAACATTTTTGGCACCAGGGACCGGTTTTGTGGAAGACAGTTTTTCCACGGACAGGAAGGGGATGCAGAATCGTTTCAGGATGATTCAGGCACATTACATTTATTGTGCACTTTATTTTAATTATCATTACATTAAAATACATAATGAAATAATTATACAACTCACCATCATGTAGAGTAAGTGGGAGCCCTGAGCTTGTTTTCCTGCAACAGGATGATCCCATCTGGCGGTGATGGGAGACAGTGACAGATCATCAGGAATTAGATTCTCATAGGAGCGCACTTCCTAGATCCTTTGCATTCACAGTTCACAGTAGGATTCATGCTCCTATGGGAATCTAATGCCTCCGCTGATCTGATAGGAGGCAGTGCTCAGTCAGTGACGCAAGCGACAGGGAGTGGCTGTCAACACAGAGGAAGCTTCATTCACTTGCCCGCCACTCACCTCCTGCTGTGTGACTTGGTTCCTAACAGGCTTCGGACCAGTACTGGTCCATGGCCAGGGGACTGGGGATCTCTGGTATAGAACATTACTTTTTTGCCAGGCACGGTGGCTCACACCTGTAATCCCAGCACTTTGGGAGGCCGAGGCAGGTGGATCATGAGGTCAAGGGATCAAGACCATCCTGGCCAACATGGTGAAACCCCATCTCTACTAAAAATACAAAAATTAGCTGGGTGTGGTGGCAGGCACCTATAACCTCAGCTACTCGGGAGGCTGAGGCAGGAGAATTGCTTGAACCCAGGAGGCGGAGGTTGTAGTGAGCTGAGATCACGCCACTGCACTCCAGCCTGGTGACAGAGTGAGACTCCGTCTCAAAAAAAAAAAAAAAAGAACATTACTTTTTTAAGAAAAAAAATACTAGTTTCTGAGTAAGCCAACACAGGTACAGTGAGAATTGATAACAAATATCACTATTTCATATTTTACGTTATCTAAAATGTAAATGTTAATTGATAGTGCATGGTTTTTTGCTTGCTCGTTTATTTGCTTATTTCTAAAAATACTTACAGGAGCTGCTGGCTGTCGATGTCCCTGTGCTGCTTGTTTTGCGGTGTTGATGGCACATTTACGACAAGAAACTCCAGACCCAACATCGTCCTGCTGATGGCAGATGACCTTGGAGTGGGGGATTTGTGCTGCTATGGTAACAACTCAGTGAGGTACAGATGGACTCTGACCCCTCCCTGTATGTGGCAGTTGCCCAGGTCACAGTGCTCATGTCTTTGCCATTGCAGAGAAGGGTTTCTGGAGAGAAGGTATTGTCTGATTTTTTCAGCAGGAAAAGCTGAGGTTACCAGGGAAAATTGCAAAATGCTTAGCATCCCAGTTCCCTTAGTTTCTAGCCATTGGTGGTGGTATTTTCATCGTTGTGCAAAATTCACATTAAAAAGTTGGCCTTTTTTGGCCAGGCATGGTAGGTCAAGCCTGTAATCCCAGCAGTTTGGAAGGTCAAGGTGGGAGGATTGCTTGAGCCCACGAGTTTGCGATCGGCCTGGGCAACATAGAGAGACCGCATTTCTACAAGAAAGCTTTAAAAATCGACCAGGAAGTAGTGGTGTGTGTCTGTGGTCTCAGCTACTCAGGAAGCTAGGGCAGGAGGATCACCTGAGCCAGGGAGACTGAGGCTGCAGTGAGCTATGATCCCACCACTGCACTCCAGCCTGGGTGACAGAGGGAGACCGTTTCAAAAAAAAAATTCACCTTTTAACTATTTTAAAGTGAACAATTCAGTGGCATTTTGTACATTCGCAGTGTTGGACAGCCATCACTTCTGTGTAGTTGCAGAATTTTTCACCACCCCCCAACGAAGACCCCCATTTCCCATCCTATCCCCATGCCCTGTTAAGCCCAAAGGGAGCCTCTGCCTCTATGGATTTGTCTCTTCTTGGAATTTCATATACAAATAATCATATACAGTATTTTCTCAGGCTGCCATGACAAAGGTCCACAGACTGGGTGGCTTAGCTAACGTCAGCTTATTCTCTCACAATCCTGGAGGCTGAAGTTCAAGATCCAGGTGTGAGCGGGGCTGGCTCCTCCTGAGACCTCGCTCCTGGGCTTGGAGGTGCTCTCTTCTTCCTGTGTCCTCACAGGGTCGTCCCTCTGTGTGTGTCTGTGTCCTCACCTCTTCTTATGAGGGCACCAGTCCTATCGGATGAGGGTTCACTTTAATGACCTCATGCTACCTTAATCGCCTCTTCAAAGACTCCATCTTCAAATACAGTCACATTCTGAGGTCCTGGGGGTTAGGACTTCAGCATAGGAATTTGGGAGGGACATAATTCAGCCCAATTCATATGATATGTAGTCTTTTTTGTCTGGTTTCTTTCACTTAGCGTAATGTTTTCAAGGTTCATTCATATTGTAGCCTGTGTCAGTTCGTCATTCCCTTCCATGGCTGAATAATTTTTCATTATATAGATATACCACATTAGTCTACAGTTTTAAAAATAACTTCCTTGAATTATTTCTAAAGTCTCTGGTACCCAGGGCTCTTTATTTCTCTACTCTCTATTGATAGACCAATCTGGCTCCTGTGAAAATCCATAGCATCTTTTAGTATGGATTTAAATAACACTGTTCCTTCTTGGAATGCAGATCACAGGCTAGTGCTGTATTTTAAGTATATTTGTTGATTGAAAGTCATTGGTCTCCTTCTTATTGTTTTCTTTCTTTCTTTCTTTCTTTCTTTCTTTCTTTTTTCTTTCTCTTTCTCCTTTCTTTCTCTCTCTTTCTTTCATCTTTCTCGCTTTCTTTCTTTTTCTTTTTTTTGAGACAGGATCTCACTCTGTCAGGCAGACTGGAGTGCAGTGGCATGATCTTGGCTCACTGCAGCCTTGACCTCCCAGGCTCAAGTGATCCTCACTCCTCAGCCTCCTGAATAGCTGGGATTACAGGCATGAGCCCACACACCCACCTGATTTTTTGTGTTTCTTTGTGTTTCTTTTTGTAGAGGTGGGGTTTTGCCATATTGCCCACCCTGGTCTTGAACCTCTGAACTCAAGTGTTTAGCCCCTCTTGGCCTCCCAAAGTGCTGGGGTTATAAGCATGAGCCACCATGCCCAGCCTTTATTATCATCTTTCTGTGGGATTATGGGAAAAAAAAGTCATACACATGGGATGAAGATTGGGTATGGTTTAGCTTACGGGAGAACAGGCACATCTTTCTTTTTTTTAACCTGTAGAATTCTATAAGTTTTACAAAATTTTTACAACATTTTGAAGACCTTAAAATATTAGACAAACAAAATGGAAATAAACTCCAAAATGTCACAATTTGATTATAAAATAGGTCAATTTTACTGTAAGATATACATTAATGGGAGGCTGAGGTGGGAGGATCATTTGAGGCCAGGAGTTTGAGACCTGCCTGAGTAAAATAGCAAGACCTGTATCTCTGCATACAATTTTAAGGCCAGGCGTGATGGCTTACACCTGTAATCCCAGAACTTTGGGAGCCTGGGGCGAGCGGATCACCTGAGGTCAGGAGTTAGGGACTAGCTTGGCCAACATGGCGACACCTCATCTCTACTAAAAATACAAAAAATAGCTGGGTGTGGTGGCTCACACCTGTAATCCCAGCTACTTGGGAGGCTGAGACAGGAGGATCACTTGAACCCAGGTGGCAGAGGTTGCAGTGAGCCAGGATCACACCACTGCACTCCAGCCTGGGCAAAAGAGTGAGACTCTGTCTAAATAAAATAAAATAAAATAAAATAAAAATTTAAATAAATTAGTAGGTCATGGTGGTGCACACCTGTGGACCTAGCTACCTGAGAGGCTGAGGTGGGAGGATCACTTGAGCCCAGGGAATTCAAGCTTGCAGTGAGCTATGATTGCACCACTGTACTACACCCTGGGCAAGAGAGCAAGAGGCTGTCTCTTAAAAAAATATGAAACACATTAAAATTTTACTTAATCTAAATTACCTATTAATTTTATGTCCTTGATAAGAACAAATTGGCTAACTTTTCCATTGAAATGCATTTTTTTCTTAGACTCACAAAACTGTATTACACAGTGATCTGTATTCATTTGTAATAGTTTTGACTGAATATATATTTTATACTTACATTTCCATTTGCTTCTAACCATCAATGCATCTAAGGAGGTAATCAGATTAAAGTTTTAAAAAGATGGATTTTAGGTTTACCAGAAATCTAAGGAAGTACTCAGGTTAAAGTTTTTAAAAGATGGATTTTAGGTTTACCAGAAATAGAGTCAACTTGACCCAAAATAGAATAGCTTTGAGCCTTAATCATTGTATTGAGAATTTTCAGAAACTCACCTGCTGAATTCTTCTTCGGTCTGTAGCACACCTAACGTTGACCGCCTGGCAAGTGAGGGAGTGATGCTCACCCAGCATCTTGCAGCTGCTTCCATGTGCACCCCAAGTCGGGCTGCCTTCCTGACCGGCCGGTACCCCATCAGATCAGGTGAGGCAATAAAGAGGCAGCAACATTTCAGTATCACCAGAATGTATTATGATGATTAGTTTTTGAAAATCTTTATAAGAATTCTCAAACGGTCACTCAGAGTATTAGGAATCTAAATTCAAAGGGGGATGTTATCCCTTGGACAGCTTAAACAGGTGTGCCTCTCACTGGGTACCACCACACCTGCCCATCTCTGTGCATATAGTGACAGAGTTTAGGCCTCTTGGGGCAATTTGCCAACTTATGGTGAACACTCCCATTTTCAGGTACTTGTGCTGAGATTTCCCAAGAGGCTCCAATGTCTTAAGCTAGCAGAGGCTGTGCAGTGGCTCTGAGATAAGTGGATCTAATCCATCTCCGAGAATGAGATTGGAAAACTAGACACAGTTGGGAAAAAAGTATAACTGAGAAAACAAAAAGAAAATGACACTTTTACATATTCCGTTACTTGACCCCGTAATTTCAAGATTTAGACTTGCTAAATTGATATAATGACAATTAAATGTTTTCCTTTGCAGCTTAGCTTAGAATCAATACCTACAAACATCCACTCAAAATCAATATTATGAACAACAATTTTTATATCCAGCTAAAATACAGAGGTGGCCTTAGACACAACTGAAGTATTCATGGTTATCAGCCTCTATGTGAAATATTGCCCCATACTGCTGTATTTTATTTAATTCTGGTATTTGTTTGTCATAATTTTACTATACCTGTCTTCACAGCTTAATTTTTCAGTGAAAAATTTTTCTGTATGACTTTTCTTCCAAGTAGTAGGTTTTCATCCAATACACTTGAAGAATGAACTAATTAGGTTAATGAGAATTATACTAAAATTAAGAGCAAACATTGAAAGTTTTTGTCTCATAAATATTGTTATATTATTATCTATTTTTGTTGCCTATTGACCTTCTTTCATGATTCAAGATTTTCCATTTTGTTCAAAACTGTTTGGCTTCTAGGTAAGTAGTCTCTGTATAACACAGTATCATGTATGGAAAGGGATAAAGATATGAATCTGTATAAGTTTCCAAAAAAATCACACTTATAATTTCAGAATTTTTTTTTGAGATAGACTATTGCTCTGTCATCCAGGCTGGAGTGCAATGGTGTGATCTCAGCTCACTGCAATCTCCACCTCCCTGGTTCAAGTGATTCTTCTGCCTCAATTCCCAAGTCATTGGGATTACAGGCATGCACCACCACGCCTGGCTAATTTTTGTATTTTTAGTAGAGATGAGGTTTCACCACGTTGGCCAGGCTGGTATCGAACTCCTGGCCTCATGTAATCCAACCACCTTGGCCACCCAAACTGTTGGGATTACAGGAGTAAGTTACCATGCCTGGTGTAATTTCAGAAAATTTTAAGTATTGAGTACAGTGAAATAAAATTTATTTTTAAAAATTAAGAAAAAAATTAAGTGATTGGTGGTCATTGCCATGTGTATATTTTTAATCATTTGACACAAACTGTTCAGTTTAATTCATTCTACTTATCAAAAATTTCAGCAAAACAGTTCAACGCCAAGATAACAGTCTAATACTTCCCTTAATGAAACTGTTTCTCTTTCCTATCGATGACGCTATGTAGAGTCTACTTTCTTCTTCTTCCAAGGTAGGACCCTGAAATACTTTTTTTCTTTTGAGATGGAGTTTCAAACTTGTTGCCCAGGCTGGAGTGCAATGGCATGATCTTGGCTCACTGTGACCTCTGCCTCCCAGGTTTAATCAATTCTCCTGCCTCTGTCTCCTGAGCAGCTGGGATTATAGGCACCTACTACCATGCCCAGTTAATTTTTGTATTTTTAGTAGAGACAGGGTTTCACCATGTTGGCCAGACTGATCTCCTGACCTCAGGTGATTTGTCTGCCTTTGCCTCCCAAAATTCTGGGATTACAGGCATAAGCCACCAAGCCTGGCCTGAAATTATCATTTATTTATTTCTTGTTGATCTTCACTTGTGGTTTTCTTGTAAATTCCTTTTAAACTATAGGTGTGTAAATTCATCTACCAGTATAAATCTACATAAGACAATACGGAGGCCAGGCATGATGACTTACACCTGTAATCCCAGCACTTAGGGAGGCCAAGGCGGGTGGATCACTTGAGGCCAGGAGTTAGAGACCAACCAGCCTGGCCAACATGGTGAAACCCTGTTTCTACTAAAAAACAAAAATAGCCGGATGTGTGGCAAACACCTGTAATTCCAGCTCCTCGGGAGGCTGAGGCACAAGAATTGCTTGAACCTGGAAGGCAGAGTTTGCAGTGAGCCAAGATTGTGCCACTGCAATCCCGCCTGGGTGACAGAGTGAAACTCCATCTCCTATACACACACACACACACACACACACATATATATGTATGGAAAAGACATTGTCACTGCAACACTTCTTCATTTCAGATTCTCAATGACACATTTAAAAATGTATTTATACCCAGCTAAATATCCAAGTATTTATACCCAGCTAAAAGACAATGGTGTCCTCAGATACTATTGAAGCATTGAAGGTTATCAGCCTCTACATGAAAAGCTAATGAAAGTTGTTTGTTGTTAGTCTGAAATTTATATGAATATAACTGAGTGTCCCATGTTTATTCTGGCAACCCTAATTCCAAGGTAATGTTTGCATTTAGCAAGCGGGAAAAGGAGAGTCAAGGACATATAGCCAGAAAGGCAACAGAAAACTTGGGGAAGAATGGCTTTGAGGAGGTGCAGGAGGAGAGAATTTTAAGCATGTTGCAATGAATCTGCTAGTAGCAAAGACTATGGTGCTAACCCATTGACGTCTGTGAATTTAGGGATGGTGTCTCCCTACAACCTGAATCGTGCCCTCACGTGGCTCGGTGGATCAAGTGGTCTTCCTACCAATGAAACGACTTTTGCCAAGCTGCTACAGCACCGTGGCTACCGCACGGGACTCATAGGTATGGCCCTGGAACTCTGACAATAGAAACATGATCCTGCAGCCTCCCTGTCATAGCGTCTAAGGTGTTTCTGGGGATGTTGGCTCTATGTGTGACAGTTCACTGACTTCTCTTTGAGATAAGACACTTGAAGAAGAAATTGATCACACATTGATTGAGGATGTCTAGAATCAAGGGCATAATCTTGGAAAAACAATAAGAACAGAAAGCAAACAAGTGTACCCAAAGTTGCCCCTAAAATGAAGTATTGTGTTGGAGGGATACGACGTTTGTGATACCATTAACAGCAGAAAAACTAGTAAATTTGTAGAGTACTGTTGAAATTGAGAACTTAAAGCATGAAGAGTTGTCAAATGGAGGCAATTGCTGGTCGATTTAGATCACATAATATTCTATGCCCTTTTGGAGTGGGGTGGACATGAGCTTGTGAGGGAGCCTTTCACCAAAAAATAAGCTTGTTTGTAGAATTACAGCCTTAGAAGATATTCCTCTGAATGACTTTTGTGACCAAATCTTTTTGGGAAATGCTACCCAAAAGCATTGTATGGTTCACTGTTTTGGAGGATTTTTTTTTCTTTTTTTTTTTTGAGATGGAGTTTCACTCTTGTTGCCCAGGCTGGAGTGCAATGGCACAATCTCGGCTCACCACAACCTCTGCCTCCCGGGTTCAAGCAATTCTCCTGCCTCAGCCTCCCGAGTAACTGGGATTACAGGCATTTGCCACCATGCTCAGCTCATTTTGTATTTTTAGCAGAGACAGGGTTTTTCCATGTTGGTCAGGCTGTTCTTGAACTTCTGACCTCAGGTGATCCGCCCACCTTGGCCTCCCAAAGTGCTGGGATTACAGGCGTGAGCCACCACACCCGGCCCTGTTTTTGAGGATTTTTAATGTGAATTATAAGCCACAGCTCTGAGATATCCTCAGCTAAAAAAATGTTTCCATCAATAGGGCATGTATTCCCATGCAACCCCCAGCAGAATCCTGTGAATAATTCTCTAGATCAGCTTTGCAGTGTTCACATTGTCAGAGCATGGGATTCAGATCTGACTCTACCACTATTAATTAATGTGACTCAGGCTTCTAAATGTGACTCAGGCTCAGATCTGTAATCCCAGCACTTTGGGAGACTGAGACAGAATTGCTTGAGGCCAGGAGTTCAAGACCAGCCTGGGCCACCATAGCAAGACCCTGGGTCTACAAAAATAACATTTTAAAATTAGCTGGGTGTGGTAGCACACATCTATAGTCCCAGCTACTCAGGAGGCTGAGGTGGGAGGATCGCTTGAGCCCAGGAGTTCGAGTCTGCAGTGAGCTAAAATCATGCCACTGCACTCCAGCCCGGGCAACAGAGCAAGACCCTGTCTCTTAAAAAAAAATCTAGATAATGTGTTTTCTATTCATAATAAAGGGTCTGGGAATGTTGAACACAATAATGTGTGCAGACAAATCAGAGCATGACCTGGCCCCCTCACATATGTGCTTGATCAAAGGAATTACTTGCATCATCAGAATCATTTGGCTCTTGATGAAATTCTTTGGCTAGTTTGTCATCCCTAGCTTGGGGACCTAGAAGAGGTGTTCCATCTAGAAAATCTCTATTACATTTCAGTGAGATGGAATGAGAGGGTCGGAAGGCACTGCTAGATAAAAGCATGAATGTGTAAGGTGCCCTGGAAATCCTTGCTATTGTCCCCACCAAACAACCAAGACATCGATTCTGGCTTCCTAGCAAGCTCCAGATACCTGGGGAGTTTCTAATTGCTCATGAGGTTGTTTGGTATCAAGCAAAAGGTTTCTTCTGAATCCAACACTAGGCTCCTCTCCTTGTAGCAAGCAAAGAGGTTCGTGCTGCCTGGTTTTGTCTGAAAGAGGCATATGTTAGGGAGAAGCCTGTTGGCGGCATGTCTACACCAGCGAAGTATTTGGGAATACCAAGAAAAAACCATGATGACAACAGACTGAGAGTTATGTTCGACTTTTTCAAAGGGAAGCCCACATTCCAGAGACCGATCAGCCTGAGTACTGCCACACTGCCATGCTACTATTTTATTTTACTTTTAGGCAAATGGCACCTGGGCTTGAGCTGCGCCTCTCGGAATGATCACTGCTACCACCCGCTCAACCATGGTTTTCACTACTTTTATGGGATGCCTTTCGGACTTTTAAGTGACTGCCAGGCGTCCAGGAAGCCAGAACTGCACCGCTGGCTCAGGATCAGACTGTGGGTCTCCACGGCACTCGTTGGCCTCGTTCCTTTTCTGCTTCTCATTCCCAAGTTTGCCCGCTGGTTCTCGGTGCCGTGGAAGGTCATCTTTTTCTTCGCTCTCCTTGCCTTTCTGTTTTTCACTTCCTGGTATTCCAGTTATGGATTTATTCGGCGTTGGAATTGCATCCTTATGCGGAACCATGAAATTATCCAGCAGCCGATGAAAGAGGAGAAAGTAGCTTCCCTCCTGCTGAAGGAAGCGCTTGCTTTCATTGAAAGGTATTTAGTCATTTCTTGCCTGATTTCCTGCATGGAAATTTTATGTTTATTTCATAGCAGGTCATCACATCACACCTTGATAATACAGGCCTTTAAAAATCTTTTGGACAGAATGTTCGGTATTTGGTTTTCTGTTCCTGCATTCATTTGCTTAGAATAATGGCCACCAGCTACATCCATGTTGCTGCAAAGGACATGCTCTCATTCTTTTTCATGGCTGTGTAGTATTTCATGGGATACAATGGGAGCTAAACATTCAGCCTCCATCGATGTAAACATGGAAACTTCTAGAGGAGAGAGGAAGACAGGTAGACATGTGTTGGAGACTACCTACTGGGTGCTATGCTCACTGTCTGAGCACAGTATACCCATGTAACAGACCTGCACATGCACCTCCTATATCTAAAATAAAAGCTGAGGAAAAAACGTTTTAGGTGACATTTATGGTAGACTTGAATCTCCTCTTAGGTTGAATAAAATAGTTAAATTTCCTGCAAATTTTGAGTGCTCAAAAGGCAAAAAAAAAAAAAAGCCATATTTTTTTGCTCACTTGCCCATATTTAACGTTTTAATATTTTTACTTTTTGGGACAGGATCTCCCTCTGCCACCCAGGCTAAAGTGCAGTGGTGTGAACATGGCTCACAGCAGCCTCCACCTCCTTGGCTCAAGTGATCCTCCCACCTCAGCCTCCGGAGTAGCTGGGACTACAGGCACACACACTATGCCTGGCTGATTTTTGTTTTCTTTTGTAGAAACAATTTTGTCATGTTGCCCATGCTGGTCTCAAACTCCTGGGCTCAAGTGATCTGCCCACCTCAGCTTTCCAAAGCGCTGGGATTACACTGTGTCTGGCCACTTACCCCTTTTTAAAAAACAAAAAACTAGGCCAGGTGCAGTGGCTCACACCTGTAATCCCAGCACTTTGGGAGGCCGAGGCAGGCAGATCACAAGGTCAGGAGTTCAAGACCAGCCTGGCCAACATGGTGAAACCCCATCTCTATTAAAAATACAAAAATAAGCTGGGCGTGATGGCTCGTGCCTATAATCCCAGCTACTCCAGACGCTGAGGCAGAAGAATCGCTTGAACCAGGACCCAGGAGGCGGAGGTTGCAGTGAGCTGAGGTCACGCCACTGCACTCCAGCCTGGGCTAGAGTGAGACTCCGTCTAAGAAACAAAACAAAACAAAACAAAACCCAAAACAACAACAACAAAAAAACCTGGAGTTACATATTTTAGTCTACATTGCTTCAGTGTGGATTGTTATCTAAATTGATTAAACTTGGAGGGTAAATATTTTTTTCTCTGTCTCAGACACAGCTGGAAGAGCTCTCTGTCCATGAACTTTTGGGAAGTGGCTCTGTATTTATAGAAACCTGGTTTTAACTTTTCTATGTTCAATACAAGCTATGCAGGCATGACTGTAATGAGCGCTCATCACCCCATACCAGTTCACTTCTACATTACAAATTATTATTAATATTATTTGGAGACAGGGTCTCACTCTGTCACTCAGGCTGGAGTGCAGTGGTGCAATCATAGTTCACTGTAGCCTCAAACTCCTGGGCTCCAGTGATCCTCTCACCTCAGCCTCCTGAGTAGCTGGGACCACAGGCACACATGACCACACCCAGTTAATTTTATAAAATTATTTTTTCGTAGAGACAGGGTCTTGCTATGTTGCTCAGGCTGGTCTCAAACTTCTGAGTTCAAGCAATCCTCCTGCCTCCACCACCCAAAATACTGGGATTACAGGCGTGAGCCACTGTGCCAGCCTAGATTATAAATTAGAGGCACATTCAAATTGTTGGTGTAGAGTAATGAAACTCTACTGTTTGTCACCTTCCTTAGTGGGGCTGACAGGGAGGGGAGAGGGGAGGACATACTGTTACTCTACCAGGCTGAAGGGCACGCAGGGGAATATCCTTCACTCATATGCCCCTGTGCACACCGGGTTATTTATGCCAACACAACCACAAGAACGGTGATGTGGCCACCCAGCCAGCTCTCCGTTCACCTTACCTGCCCCTCCCGTCCCAACGCGTTTGCTTGGGCTAGCTTTGTGTGAATTTATTCAATCTCCATCTCCCTCCCTTCTTTCTATGCTGGTTGTAAAAATGTGTAAAGCAGTAGCTTTAGAATGACTGCATGTGACATTAAAAAGCAGAACACAAGGTCAGGCATGGTGGCTCATGCCTGTAATCCCCGCACTTTGGGAGGCTGAGGCAGGAGGATTGCTTGAGCCCAGGAGTTTGAGACCAGCCTGGGCAATATAGTGAGCTCCCATGTCTACACAAAATTTCAAAAATTATGCAAGCTTGGTGGTGTGTACCTGTTGTCTCAGCTCCTGGGGAGGATGAGGTGGGAGGATCACTAGAGCCTAGGAGGTCGAGGCTTCAGTGAGCTGTGATTGCACCACTGTACTCCAACCTGGGCAACAGAGTGAGACTTTGTCTCAAAATAAATAAATACATAAAATGCAGAACACAAAAAGCAAGATGTAAATGAGGGGAATTGATTTCTCTCTTGTGGTAGGCAGGCTATAGATACAGTGAGGTTATTCACACCTTAGCTTTTATCTTGTTCTCTGCCATCCTGTGTGAGCAGCTTCATGGCCCAAAGTGAATGCCAAGGCTCCAGCCATCAGACTTATGTTCCAGGAACCATGAAGGAGGTGGAAGAAAGAAAGAAGGGAAAATGGAGAGTAAGGAGCATCAAATCCTTACTGAGGCACATCTGGGTGTGTCCTTAAGATATGATTCTTCTAAACTCATACCTAAAAAACACTTTGAGATAATAGATGAGGAGAATTCATATTTTTTAATCCATTCAACAAAGATTAAAAGATTTATTAAGCTGCTACTTTATGTCAGAAGCTAAACTGGACCCAAGAGAGTATAAAATGAACTGCATTAAACATTTTTTTTTTGTTAAGACAGAGTCTCACTGTGTTGCCCAGGCTAGAATGCAGTGACGTGTTAATAGCTTACTGCAGCCCCCACCTCCCAGGCTAAAGTGACTCCCTTGCCTCAGCCTCCTGAGTAGCTGGGATCACAGGTGTGCCATTACATGCAGCTGTATTTTTGTATTTTTTGTAGAGACGGGGTCTTGCCATGTTGCCCAGTCTGGTCCTGAACTCCTGGGCTCATGCAATCCTCCTGCCTCAGCCTCCCAAAGTGCTAAGAATATAGGCATGAGCCATCGTGCCTGGCTACATTAAACATTTTCCTGGGAACACAAATGTTCTGTTATCCATCACTCCTCCTCATATCCTTTCAACAGAAATCTTGTGGCATTGTCAACTTACAGGAGTGGTATTGTCATCTAAAGTACATCTACTATCAGATCTTTTCATCAATGCAGAATCACATTTAAAGGGCGGAAATGACTTTAGCTGTGAAGGTAATTTTGCTAACTTTCTATCCCTCAGGTACAAACGGGAGCCTTTTCTCCTCTTTTTTTCCTTCCTGCATGTACATACTCCACTCATCTCCAAAGAGAAGTTTGTTGGGCACAGTAAATACGGCAGGTACGGGGATAATGTGGAAGAAATGGATTGGATGGTGGGTAAGTATTCCGTGATGCAACTGTAAATATCTCAAGTGTAGGCTACAGGAAACAAACCTAGTCTCAAACAATGTCCAGGCCCTCGCGTAGCACAGATACCTGACAAGTATTTGTTTCATCCCTGAATTGAATTAAAAGCTGGCTTTTAGTTGTTCATCGATGCCAGTAAAATATATTCCCCAAGATAAGTGTCACAGTTTGTAAATACAGGTTTTCCCATCTTTAAGATAAAGACAGCCACTTTTCAGAAAAAACTCATTGGCAAGATAAATAAAGTTGCACTGTAAAGAATATCGTAATTCCTGGCCAGGCACCCAGTGGCTCACACCTGTAATCCCAGCATTTTGAGAGGCCTTGGCGAGCAGATCACTTGAGGTCAGGAGTTCTAGACCAATCTGGCCAACATGGTGAAACCCCATCTCTACTAAAAATACAAAAATTAGCCAGGCGTGATTACGTGGGCCTGTAGTCCCAGCTACTCGGGAGGCTGAGGCAGGAGAATCGCTTGGATCCAGGAGGCAGAGGTTGCAGTGAGCCGAGAACGGACCATTGCACTCCAGCCTGAGCAACAGAGTGAGAGCCTGCCTCAAAAAAAAAAAAAAAAAAAAAAAAAAAAAAAAAGAATAAAGGAAAGTCAGTGCTACCAGGCAGGCATTTAAGCAGAAATGGGGGCAAAAGAGGGAATGTATTAACAGGAAAAACTTAAGGCTTAAAGGGAGCTAATCCCTGACATCAAACCTCTTCTAAGCTTGTTGAGCTAAAGCAAAGCTCTGTATTTATTAATCTAATCTTTGCTGTGGGATGTGTGTATGTCGGTGTATACATATACTCACCCAGTTACAGTTATTTTATTTGCATGGTATAAATCACAAATCACTTTCATGCATAATACTACAGCCAGGTTTAGTATGAGTTAAACTATACACACGTACCATATGTTATACACACACATATATATATACACGCACACGCCACATGGTTTATATGTATATACACGTTATGTTTTATATATATACACATAGTACTGTACGTTGCATATATACACATATAATATATACAGTGTAATTCCTCGGTAATGAAATACAAACACTGAAATGTGTTACAGTTAAAAACAGCTATAACTTGGGAGGCCGAGGCGGGTGGATCACGAGGTCAAGAGATCGAGACCATCCTGGTCAACATGGTGAAACCCTGTCTCTACTAAAAATACAAAAAATTAGCTGGGCGTGGTGGTGCGTGCCTGTAATCCCAGCTACTTAGGAGGCTGAGGCAGGAGAATTGCCTGAACCCTGGAGGCGGAGGTTGTGGTGAGCCGAGATCGCGCCATTGCACTCCAGCCTGGGTAACATGAGTGAAACTCTGTCTCAAAAAATAAATAAATAAATAAAAAATAAAAACAGCTATAACATTGTAGCCTTAATGTAATTAGATAATGGGAATTTTTTTCTTTGCTTCTTTTGAAATTGCTTACTGTAGTTGTACTTTTAGCCAAAGGACAGTGTCCTGCAAAGGGAATTTCTGTTAAAGTCTATATCTGAGTACTTATCACTAAGAAATAATTATGTTTGTTTTATAATACATGTAAATACATGATGAAGACGTGTTACAAAAGCTAGCGATTGCATCAGTAAATGGCGAGTATTACTTTACGCTGGAGAAATGATGAGCAGCTATTTTTCTGCATAACATCTCCCAAATATTCTGACTTTTCTGCATCATTTCTTATAAAATTTCTACCGAAATAAAGACATATGGAAAGTCAGACAGATATCTCTGTGGGTATTATTTTCCTATTTAACAACATGAGCATAAAACTCAAAGGTTTAGTAAGTTATTAACTTTACTCAAAAGTAAGTCATAACAATACTATGCTCGTGCAAATGCAAATACAGCGAGCAAAATGAACTTAAGGAATCTTGAAGAATTCAGTAACATTTTAAACTTTCCGATCAAAGAAACTTGTGCCTATTAATCAGTTTTTCTTTTTAAGAGACAGGGTCTCACTCTTTTGCCCAGGTTGGCTGGAGTGCAGTGGTGCAATCACAACTCACTGCAGCCTTGACCTCCTGGGCTCAGGTGACCCTCCCACCTCAGCCTCCCGAACAGCTGGGACTACAGGTGTGGGCCACCATGTCTGGCTAGTGTGTGTTTGTGTGTGTGTGTGTGTGTGTGTGTGTGTGTGTGTGTTTTGTAAAGAAGGAGTTTTGCCATCTTGCCCAGGCTGGTCTTGAACTCTTGGGCTCAAGGAAACATCCCACCTCGGCCTTCCAAAGCGCTGGGATTACCTGTGTGAGCCACCGCGCCTAGCCCTGATCACTTTCCATTACTGGTTTCTTTTCAGGTGCCTTTGGTAGGAGGTCTTGTAAGTGACCTATTACCATTAGTATTTATATATTCATATGTATCTGTCTAGATACACTTTAGACACTATATGGACAATTATTTACATATATATTTGTTTTGAAACAGAAAAATAATTTGCAGCTATATTTGTGCAGTACAAATTACAAATCACTTTTATGATTTTTTTATACTATAGCCAGATCTAATGTGAATTAACAATTTACATCTAATTATTCTCCTCCCAGAAAGCCTTTATAATCTTTCATCTTACAAACTCTGGGCTGAAAAAAATCTTAATCTCTAATGATAACATTTCTAAAAAATAGTATACGTCACTTCTAAAACAAATGACTTTTGAGCAATAGATAATGAAGATGAATGAGTTTACATAGAAACAGTTCTCCGTACAGCATTTTCTTTCATCTTTGAATGGGACAAGATCATAGCACAGAATGACCTGGTGTAAATTAGAAATGCAGCGTGCATCTGGCCCAGGGTGATGTTATCTGTTGATTCGCAAATGCTCAACAGCGGAAACTAAATCAATGTTGTTTGGAATTTTGCTAGATCAGCTTTCTACTTATTATTCTTAAAAACTGTCCTCCTGAGGGATTGTCAACACATCACAGACAGTGTCTGCTAAGCCTAGTGCAGGATTGTCATTAGATCTTCACCGTAACCTGAACAGCAAGGGTAACCTGTGATTTCCATGTAGACTTCAGGTAGCAGCCAGGACAGCAGAGTGTCTGAGAGAGGAGACACTGTGCCCTGGAGTACGGGAATGGCTTTGCTGATGTGTTCCTGGAGATGTCATTTTGCAAACTGTATTTTTTTAAATTAACGTTCATCAGTTTATTTAACTGCTGGGCCTAATTGGCACTGTTTGAATTGTTTGAAGCAATGATGACATTACACATTATTACATGATTTGTATAATAAAATATACTTGATTATATATTAAGTAATAAAATAATGAACATATTATACAATTTAATTATATAATAAACCAATACTTTGTATATTATATATAAACTATTCTAGATTTTAAATTAATATAGTGTATTTAATATATTTAATATTTATAATATATTTATAATTACATCAATATAAGATTAATTAATATAATAATATGTGACACATATACAATTATCTAAAATAACACAGTGCATATTTCTATAAATGATAAATTTATGATAAAATTTTATATATTAGATATGTTATAAAATTTAATATATTTATTATATAGTATATATTTATTACATATATTCATATTTTATCTTATACGTAATATATTTTCTTATATTTTGTATAAACATATAATTTTACGTGTTACACTGATACACAAAATACTATATTATAAAATAATACGTTATATAATTATATAACAATTTTTACACAATGATATAGGGTATTATTAATAATCATTACAAACTATTACATAATGATACATTTCTAGTATCATAAAATCATATGGTATAATAATACATAATATGTATTGATTATACATACTACAATATATTTTGTTCTATTCCATAGTTGATTATATTTTAATATATAACAATTCTTTATGCATTACTAAAATATCATGTTATATATTAACATGTACTTGGAAGAAATATGTACCATGCATCCTATAATATATAATAAATATATAATTAGTAATTTAAAATGAATAAAATTGTACATTATTACATTACATATACAGATTGCATTACATTATATATTAAACATTTTAACTGCTGGATATGTGTATTATATACACTATATTACATACAGTTTAAAATAGTCTAGATTACAGTATTATATAATAGTTATTAATTATACAATATTGTGTAATGCAGAATAAGCTTTCAACGCTGTGAGTAATAAGTGCATAGTAACAGACATGTAATAAAGCAGTGGTGATCTTCATTGAGAGGTCAACTTTTTTGTGTCTCTGACCCTCACCAGGTAAAATCCTGGATGCCCTGGACCGGGAGCGCCTGGCCAACCACACATTGGTGTACTTCACCTCTGACAACGGAGGCCACCTGGAGTCCCTGGACGGGGATACCCAGCTGGGTGGCTGGAACGGGATCTACAAAGGTGATTGTAGTCTCTATTGGCTTTGTATCTGCTTTAATTCATTTGCCACGCTGTTCAGATATTTTTATGTGAGTTAGACTCTTACTATGCTAGACAAAGGGGGGGAAAAAGCTGCAAATTTTGGGGCAGTTTCCAAGAGCTTCAAATGAAAATGTGTGAGGCAATGCCAACCCCATGAGAGGGAGCGTAGGGTCTCAGTGATCATCTGTGGCAGCTCTCCCAGCCTCTGCACGATTGACATTTGAGGCTGGAGGATTCACTGGCTGGGGGCATCCTGTGCATTGTAGGGGTTGAACAGCATCCCTGGGCTCTGGGTGAGAAGTGCTCCTTTGGATTAATCCTCACTTGGATACCCAGATGCACATTTTTAATTCAGTAACATCGATGATGCTATTCATTATGCTTTAGTGAGTGTGATGTGGATCAGAAAAAAAGAGTTATTCATTTGACTGGGGTGCCTACCTCCAGCTCACTTTGATAGACTTCACGTTGTGTTGTTCAAGAACTCCGTGGCACCCACTCTTAGACATCAGCAAACAAAGCCATGCCAACAGAAAGAATCATTTAAAAAAGAATTTGGTATTTGCTATTTTCCCCCTACCCTCTAACCTTCTACGTAAAACAAAAAAACTAACAGGGTATCAAAATTGTCATCATTATAAAATCAGAATGTCTGGACTTCCTTGTATTTTATTAAAAAGTTTGTGTTTGTGTGTGTGTGTGTGTGTGTGTGTGTGTGATATATGTATTTTCCTATATATATTCACTGTGTCTATTTTCACCATATTAATTATACATAATAAAACATATCATATATATGTCATATGTGATACATATAATCCTATATATATTCACTATTTTTATGTAGTTACTATATTCATTACATATAACACATATAATCCTATATATATTCACTATATTATATATAATGCATGTAATTCTACACATTTACTATATATAATAGACATAATCCTGTGCATATTCACTATGTATATACAGTCATTATATTCATTATATATAACACACATAATTCTCTATAGATTTACTATATTTATTGTATAGACCATTATTTTTTAATATATTCATTATATATAATATATATAATTCTACGTATATTTACTATTTACATAGTATATTTATTATATATAGTATATATAATTCTATATATTCACTGTATATAGTCACTATATTCATTACATATTACACATAATCATATATATGCACTATATTCATTGTGTATACTATAATTTATCTATTCACTGTATTCAATATAATATACATAATCCTATATGTATTTACTATGTGTATACAGTCACTATATCCGTTATGTATAATATATATAATTCAATATATATTCATGATATATTTACAATAGAAAATCCTATGTATATGCACACACAGATAGGATGACATATAGGGTTGTATGTACTAGATCATACATTGTAAATTATTAGAAGTGAGCCTCTGAAAGCATTCACATCCTCTGGCTTGTCATGCGAACTTGCTGTAGTCATAACTGTAATTAGCAAAGATTAATTGCTACTAAGCCTAGTAGAAAAAGTGAGGAACAGATTTGGATGACCATTTCTATGCCCTCTAATGAAACGTGATTATTACAATCATGACGAATCATGATGATTGTAATAACGGTACATATTATATATTATATATTATAATAATGATTCTGATTGCATGAGGATGTGTGAGTGTAAAGCCCTGTCTTTAGAAAGCACACATAACCCTGGAATAGGCCTGGCAAAATTCTTGCGAGCATTTCTCACGTTTTGGGACAGGTTACCTGTTTCTCAGGTGCTTCCTGTGAAGCAACGAATTCACTGGATAGAGAGATTTCAATCTCCTGGGTAGACGCTGGGTTTTGTTCTAGTCTAGTTACATCCCGCAGCTCTGCCCCACAAAGATACAGGTTATTAAACAAGATGAAGAAAACATCAGGATGGCTTTATGATTGTGTGTTAAAAACACATAGATTTGGTTCAGGGAGCTTGTCAAGTTTTTCTTTTTATCAAGTTTTCTTCTTTAGAATGGTGCTACTCGGGAGGCTGAGGAGGGGAGGATCGCTTGAGCCCAGGAGTTGGAGACTCCAGTGAGCTGTGATCATGCCACTGCACTCCAGCCTGCGCGACAGGACGAGACAGTGTCTAAAAAAAAAAAAGATGGTGCCAAGAAGCTGAGATGCCTTTCAACAGTGGTTAGATCAGTGAACGTGTCTGCAGTGACTTTTACCTCATTTTCTGCTAGAGGCTCTGGTTTTGTGTTTTCTCTGTAATGCTGCCTGTCAGACAGGTCCACACACAGAAGGCGTTCAATGAACATTTCACATAGGAAGAGATCTTTTCCCCCAGAGAGGCTCCTATTTTTTCTTAAAGAGTCTAGACATATGGTCTTGGCAACGGCATTTGGCATAGGGCCATTTTTCTATTCTGTAACAGATGCGTCAGTCTCACGATTGATCTTACAGCAAGGGCTTCATTATTTGCTTGGTGCTGAGAAATGTCCAAGGGGCCTTTTGTCTAACAAGTGATTCTCAACATGTTTTCTGCCTCTGACCATTTTTCTACTCACACTCCTCTCTTGCTTCCTCTATATGGGATATCACGGGGTAAAGTCAAATTTTTTTAGCGTGTTCCTCAAGGACCATTATAACATGGATAAAACCTGTCATTTTCTTTTCTTTTCTTTTAGTTTTTTATTTTTTGGAGACAGAGTCTCACCCCTTGCCCTGGCTGGAGTACAGCGCCACAGTCTCAGCTCACTGCAAACTCCACTTCCTCTTCTCGAGTGATACCTCCACTTCAGCCTCCCAGTATGCCCGGCTGATTTAAAAACTTTTTTGTAGAGATGAGGGCTCGCTATCTTGCCCATGCTGGTCTCAAACTCCTGAGCTCAAGCAATTCTCCCACCTCGGCTTCCCAAAATGCTGGGATTACAAGCGTGTGTCAAGACGCCTGGCAAAATGTGTCCTAGTTTGCCTTTGCATGCCAAACACAGAGTTGACCTTTTCTATCTTTCAAGCCCATTCTAATTCCAATAAGGACTACGAACTTACCAGTTTATCAAATGTCCTCCTTTCCCGTCTTATAATATTGAAAGTTCATCTCATTAATTGCCACATATAGTGTGCTATCTTAAGACGGCGCTTATTTTCATTTATTGTTATTGAACATATCACCTGTATGCTAAAAGTTGACAACTAATGTTTTAACTATTGGAAGGCAAGAATGCTATCTCATGGTTATTTTGTATCTCTCTGTGAACACAGCACACAGAATAGAGTAAGACCTCCAAAAAGTTACATATAGATTCAATTTTCTATTCAGTAGAGAATAACATGATTGGGTTTGTTTGTTTGAGACAGAGTTCCACTCTGTTGCCCAGACTGGAGTGCAGTGGCACCATCCCAGCTCACTGCAACCTCTGCCTCCTGACTTTAAATTATTCTCCTGCCTCAGCCTCCTAAGTAGCTTTGATTACAGGTGCTTGCCACCACGCCTGGCTATTTTTTTTGTATTTTTAGTAGAGACAGGTTTCACCATGTTGGCCAGGCTGGTCTTGAACTCCTGACCTCAAGTGATCTGCCCTCCTCAGCCTCCCAAAGTGCTGAGATTATAGGCATGAGCCACTGCATTCAGCTGATATGGTTAGGTTTTAACTCATCCTTGGTTGTGTTGTAATCTTTGGTTTTAGGTGGCAAAGGAATGGGAGGATGGGAAGGAGGTATTCGTGTGCCGGGGATATTCCGGTGGCCGACGGTCTTGGAGGCTGGGAGAGTGATCAGTGAGCCCACCAGCCTAATGGACATCTACCCGACGCTGTCTTATATAGGTGGAGGGATCTTGCCCCAGGACAGGTATGGAAACAACAGTTGCTCCTAACCTAGGGAGATATATTTGGACACATGTGGACATACTTGATAATTCTATGTGTGTGTGTATGTACATAGTATATTACTTCATTATCAATATTCTGCCCATAGGGCCAGATGTCTTTCTCCCCTTGATGCATGCTGGACCTTAATATCCTTTGTCATATGACACTTGTGCATGCATGTGTTTGACCGTTCTCATGGGTGGGATCTGATTATCCTCACATCCCTAACAGCTTCTAGACCATTAAGCAATTAAGTGTTAAATGATTACTGAATAAAAACACATGTATAAAGCAGTTTTGGGAGGTCGAGGTGGGCATATCACTTGAGGTCAGGAGTTCAAGACCAGCCTGGTCAACATGGTGAAACCCCCATCTCTACTAAAAATACAAAAATTAGTCTGGCATGATGGCATGCACCTGTAATCCTGGCTACTTGGGAGGCTGAGGTGGGAGGATAGCTTGAACCTGGGAGGTGGAGATTGCAGTGAGCCCAGGTCTCGCCTTTGCACTCCAGCCTGAGCAACAGAGTGAGACCCCGTCTCAAAAAAAAAAAAATGCTTGACTGAACCATGCCTCTCTCATCACCTTCTGCACACCCCCATCTCTCCCAAGAGTGATTGACGGCCAGAACCTAATGCCCCTGCTGGAAGGAAGGGCGTCTCATTCCCACCACGAGTTCCTCTTCCACTACTGCGGGGTCTATTTGCACACGGTCAGGTGGCATCAGAAGGACTGTAAGTATGAAGACCGTGGACACGTGGGAAGATGATAAGGGCCCTGTTCCTGTCTCCTTCATCTCCTGGGGGAAACTGCGTCACATGCAGATATTGCCCAGCCGTGGTGGCTCTTTTCTGCTGGGAAAGCCACATAAACAGATAGTGTACTGCAGTAGGATTTTATTTTATTTTTTAGTTTTCTGAGACAGGATCTCACTCTGTCATCCAGGCTGGAGTGCAATGGTGCAATCTCGGCTTATGTCCAACGTCTGCCTACCAGGTTCTGGTGATTGTCCTGCCTCGACCTCCTGAGTCACTGGGACTACAGATACTTACAACCGTGACCAGCTAATTTTCATATTTTTAGTAGAGACGGGATTTCACCAAGTTGGCCAGACTAGTCTCGAACTCCTGACCTCAGGTGATCTACCCACCTTGGCTTCCCAAAGTGCTGTGATTACAGGCATAAGGCAGTCAATACTATTTGTTAATTTGTATGGTTTGCATGACTCCCATAGCATGACTGTGGGACAGAAACAAGCACTAGCATGTTAGGAAGAAAGTGGAGAGGAGTAACTGCCATGCAGGTCACACGGAAGAATTTACTCCTTGTTGCTAGAATAATTACTTCAGTCATCCCTAAGTTCATATTCTCTTTTTTTCTCTCTCTCTCATGTATACATTCACACAAGCTAATGCACACATACACACCCACATTCATCATGTTTTCTCAAATGCTCATCATCACTGGTCATTAGAGAAATGCAAATCAAAACTACATTGAGATACCGTCTCACACCAGTTAGAATGGCGATCATTGAAAAATCTGGAGACAACAGATGCTGGAGAGGATGTGGAGAAATAGGAACACTTTTACACTGTTGGTGGGAGTGTAAATTAGTTCAACCATTGTGGAAGACAGTGTGGCGATTCCTCAAGGACATAGAAATAGAAATTCCATTTGACCCAGCAATCCCGTTACTGGGTATATATCCAAAGGATTATAAATCATTCTACTATAAGGACACATGCACACGAATGTTCATTGCAGCACTGTTTACAATAGCAAAGACCTGGAACCAACCCAAATGCCCATCGACGATAGACTGGACAGGGAAAATGTGGCACATAGACACCATGGAATATTATGCAGCCATCAAAAACAATGAGTTTGTGTCCTTTGTAGGGACATGGATGAACCTGGAAACCATCATTCTCAGCAAACTGACACAAGAGCAGAAAATCAAACACAGCATGTTCTCACTCATAGGCAGGTGTTGAACAATGAGAACACATGGACACAGGGAGGGGAGCACTACACACTGGGGTCTGTTGGAGGGAAATGGGGGAGGGACATGGGGGTGGGGAGGTGGGGAGAGATAGCATGGGGAGAAATGCCAGATATAGGTGAAGGGGAGGAAGGCAGCAAATCACACTGCCACATGTGTACCTATGCAACAGTCTTGCATGTTCTTCACATGTACCCAACACCTAAAATGCAATTAAAAAAAATCATGTTTTCTTAATTTTCTGTATCCTATAATGTTTTGACTAATTTTTTGAGACAGGGTCTCACTCTGTTGCCCAGGCTGGAGTGCAGTGGCACAATCATTGCCAACTGCAGCCTCAAACTTACCACTCAGCTTGCAGAGCAGCTGGACTACAGCTGTGTGCCATCATACCTGACTAATTTTTTTTCTTTTTTAGAGACAGGGTCTTGCTATGTTTCCCAGGCTGACATCAAACTCCTGGTCTTAAATAATCCTCCTACCTTGGCTTCCTAAAGCGCTGAGATGGCACCTGTAAGCCGCTGTACCAGATTAGTACTTTGACAGCTTGAGGGGCCTTATCGACTTGGGTAAAGACTGCTCCTCCCAGGGCTAGTTAATTACTAAAAATAGTGATATGGTTTGGCTCTGTCCCCACCCTAATCTCACCTTGAATTGTAATAATCCCCACATGTAAAGGGGAGAGCCAGGTGGAGATAATTGAATCATGGGAGAGGTTTCTGCCATACTGTTCCCATGGTAATGAATAGGTCTCACAAGATCTGATGGTTTTATAGGGCATTTCCCTTTTTGCTTGGATCTCATCCTTTCTTGCCTTCTGCCAAGTAAGATGTGTCTTTTGCCTTCTGCCATGATAGCAAGGCCTCCCTAGCCATGTGGAACTGTGAGTCCATTAAACCTCTTTTTCCTTTATAAATTACCCAGTCTTGAGTATGTCTTTATCAGCAGCATGAGAATGGACTACTACAAAGAGACACAAGTCACTTAGGAACACATCCTTCCTAAGCAAGCGACCACCTACTTTATCTAACTTTCACGCAGTAAGCTGATATTTCCTCTGCCCTAAATCAACCAAGCACCAGATGCCTGGCAGCTAGGGACAGCCCCTGTTGCCCCAAAACTTACTGTGATTACTCAAACTAGCCAGTATGAAGCTGTTCACATTGTCCTGCCTGACCTTTCCCTTGGAAACTCTAACAGTAATGGCTGTGGCCTGGGCTCTTCATTCCTTCCTGCGTCTGCTTCCTGGCCAAGCCCTGGTGCTTCCCATGGTGAACCCGTGTGGTGAGGTATTATCCCCTTCTCTTGGGAAATCTAAGTCATGAAAATATTGCAATGGCATTGACCTGTCTGTGTCAACACTTATTTACCTCCCAAGGTGTGACTCACTGCACCCTTTCCACTGGTGGGTCACACATATGGGAGGCCAAGGAGAGAGGATCGCCTGAGATTGGGAGTTCGAGATCAGCCTGGGCCACATAGTAAGATCTTTATCTTTTAAAACTTTAAAAAATTTAAAATAAAACCCTTTGGGCACAAATCTCTCTCTCACACACACATCTCTCTAAAATCCTACTGCGGGCCAGGCATGGTGGCTCGCTCCTATAATCCCAGGACTTTGGGAGGCTGAGGTGGTTGGATCACTTGAGGTCAGGAGTTCGAGACCAGCCTGGCCAACATGGAGAAACCCTGTCTCTACTAAAAAATACAAAACTCAGCTGGCTGTAAAGGTGCAACAAGGAGTAAATTCTTCAGTGAGACCCTGTCTCAAAAAAAAAAGTCAAAACATTATAGGATGCAGAAAATTGAGAAAACATGATGAATGTGGGTGTGTATGTGTGCATTAGCTTGTGTGAATGTATACATGAGAGAGAGAAAAAGAGAATATGAACTTAGGGATGACTGAAGTAATTATTCTAGCAACAAGGAGTAAATTCTTCCGTGTGACCTGCATGGCAGTTGCTCCTCTCCACTTTCTTCCTAATATGCTAGTGCTTGTTTCTGTCCCACATTCATGCTATGGGAGTCATGCAAACAATATAAATTAAAAAATAATATTAATTGCCTTACACCTGTAAAGAAAGGTCTTTTGGAGTCATTGCATGAAATTCCAGAATTCTTACTTGGTTGAATTTGACTTTCTTTGCAGGAGGAATTTTCTCTGATGGGATCAATCACTTGTGATGTGATTGAGGTAGAATTTTTAATTTGGAATTCCCAGAATTACCATATTCCCACCTGGATCATCACTGTTATCTCCAAATGTCCTCATGACAAGATTTCTAAAAACGTCTTCAAGTTTGCAGTAAAATTGTACATTGTTCTTAGAGTTGAAGAAGTGCTACTGTTGCTGTGTACTTTTGGGCAGAATAGTGTTATCAATCACTAGAAAAAGCATTTGAGAAAAAACATTTTTAATGAAAAGAGTCCTAAAATCACCACAAAGATGGCATCACAATGCAACTTTTTTTTTTTTTTTTTTTTTTTTTAGGTGCAACTGTGTGGAAAGTTCATTATGTGACTCCTAAATTCTACCCTGAAGGAACTGGTGCCTGCTATGGGAGTGGAATATGCTCATGTTCGGGGGATGTAACCTACCATGACCCACCACTCCTCTTTGACATCTCAAGAGACCCTTCGGAAGCCATTCCACTGAACCCTGACAACGAGCCATTATTTGACTCCGTGATCAAGAAGATGGAGGCGGCCATAAAAGAGCATCGTGGGACACTAACACCAGCCCCACAGCAGTTCTCTGTGTTCAACACGATTTGGAAACCATGGCTGCAGCCATGCTGTGGGACCTTCCCCTTCTGTGGGTGTGACAAGGAAGATGACATCCTTCCCACAGCTCCCTGAGACCATGGGGACCATTTGTTACCCACCACAAACTTACTGTTACAATGGTCATAGGAGCAGTGCTCAGCTGACTATAACCCCAGTCAGGTGACTGGGAGTTTTTATCCGCTTGGGATAAAAACTGATGGCCTCACCCATTGTTTTATCCTCAGACTTCAGTTCTTTCTTCAAGAGCTCAGTGAAATGAAAGTGGATCCATATAACAGTGAACCTGGAAGGGAGCATTTGTTGTATAATTTTTTTCTAGTATATAATTGTGCCATTGCCCAAGGAAAAGAGCAGATCAAGGTGACTTCAGCAGATTCTTGTAGAGCTTTTGTTCCTAGAATTCACGGAAGCATCAGGTCCAATGTCCTAAGTTAGAAGCTTCTGCTTGCAGATCCTAGACCCAGAGATGCAAGCTTTGTAATAAATCATTATAAGTACTTAATTTTATCGTGAAGCCGAGGGTCACATAAAACTTGAGGTAGTACTATTATAGTCAGTTTGACTTCTTGATTTTCTCTTTTTTCTTCTTTTCTTTTCCTGTCCAACACACATCTGGTTCTGAGAAAAAATGCTGGGCTGAAGTTCCTGACTTTGCTTTCTGGTAACTGTATCATTGTGGAGCTGTCTCTGTGATTTGGTTTCTTCATGTGTAAAATGAGGAAAACCAATGACTACTTCACAGAGTTGCTATGAGGATTACACGCATTAATTAATGTGAAATCACCTTGTGTAGAATAAGCAGTCAATAAATATTATTATTATGAATACTGTCGTTGTAAGCATCAGCAATTGCAGTTAATTATGATTCCTTAAACACAAAATAAGAAAAATGGGGAAGAGTTAACATTTAAGAAAAAAATAGAAACATGGATAAAACAATTATTTCATTGAAGAAAGCATTTGGCAATACACATAGGAAGTAAATCTAAGCAGGATAAACAAAAATAAATAGAAAATTTGAAGCATCTGTGACTGCAGACTACAAAAGACAAAGATCTACAGATGGATATAGGGCAGGTGAGCCCCAAATTAGGGCTTAGTCTGGGAGGGCTCTTGGCTTCCCTCAGGAAAGAATTCAAGAGTGAGCCAGTGGTGGGAGAAACAGCTTTATGGAGGTTGTAGTGTCACAGTTCTGTGACTGCTCCTGCAGAGAGCGGGAGCTCAGGGCACTTCTGCAGTCATATTTATACCCACTTTTAATTGCGTGCAGATTCATGGGCAGTTTATGCAGAAATTTCTAGGAAAAGGTTGGTAAGTTCTGAGTGCTCAGGTCATTGCCACAGAAGAGCAGTCACGCCCAAGTGTTGCCATGGCAACAGTAAACTGACATGGCACACTGGTGGCATGTCTTATGAAAAGCTACTTCCATGTTTTAGCTAGTCCTCAATTTGGTCCTCTGTCTGCTTCTGCTGCTTCTTCTCAAGCAATCCTCTTTCTGCTGCTTGGGCTCAAGTAATCCTCCTGCCTCGGCCTCCCAAAGTGCTGGGATTACAGGTGTGAACCACCACATCATGTGGCCAACAATGAATGTTCTTTTTTTTTTTTTTTTTTGAGACAGAGTCTTGCTCTGTCACCAGGAGCCAGGCTGGAGTACAGTGGCATGATCTTGGCTTACTGTGACCTCCGCCTCCCAGGTCCAAGCAATTCTCCTGTCTCAGCCTTCTGAGTAGCTGAGACTACAGGTGCACACCACCACCCCCAGCTAATTTTTTTATTTTAGTAGAAATGGGGTTTCACTATGTTGGCAAGGATGGTCTTGATCTCTTGACCTCGTGATTTGCCCACCTCGGCCTCCCAAAGTGCTGGGATTATAGGCGTGAGCCACCGCACCCAGCCTGAATGTTCTTTATTTTATTTTATTATTTTACTTTATCTTTTGAGATAGAGTCTTGCTCTGTCAGCCAGGCTGGAGTGCAGTGATGAAATCTCGGCTCACTACAACCTCTGCCTCCCAGGTTCAAGTGATTCTCCTGCCTCGGCCTCACGAGTAGCTAGGATTACAGGCAGACATCACCACACCCAACTAATTTTTGTATTTTTAGTAGAGACAGGCTGGTATCAAACTCCTGATGTCAAGCAATCCACTTGCTTCAGCTTCCCAAAGTGTTAGGATTACAGGTGTGAGCCACCATGCCCAGCAACAATGAATGTCCTGAATATCACTAAACTGTGCACTTAAACATGATTTAAAATGACAAATTTTGTTATGTGTTATTTTACCACAATTAAATTAATTTTAGTGCAGTGGTGTGATCTCAGCTCACTGCAATCGCTTGAACCTTCTAGGTTCAAGCGATTCTCCTGTCTCCGCCTCCCAAGTAGCTGGTACTACACGTGCGTGCCACAATGCCCAGCTAATTTTTTCTCTTTTTAATAAAGATGGGGTTTTGCCGTGTTAGCCAAGATGATCTCAATCTCCTGACCTTATGATCCACCCGCCTCGGCCTCCCAAAGTGCTGGGATTACAGGTGTGAGCCACCGCGCCTGGCCAAATTTTTTTTTTAAAAAGAACAATATAATGCATACCAATTTCCCAAGACCCCAATAACTAAAAAATAGGCTTTACCTCATGACGATAGATATGGTTTTTTGTTTTTTGTTTTGTTTTCTGAGACAGAGTCTTGCTATGTCACCAGGCTGGAGTGCAGTGGCGTGATATTGGCCCACTGCAACCTCCACCTCCTGGGTTCAAGCGACTCTCCTGCCTCAGCTTCCCAAGTAGCTGGGACTACAGGCGCACACTGCCATGCCCAGCTAATTTTCGTATTTTTAGTAGAGTCGGGGTTTCACCATGTTAGGCAGGATGGTCTTGATCTCTTGACCTCCCAAAGTGCTGGGATTACAGGTGTGAACCCCCATGCCTGGCTGACAATAGATATGTTTGATTAAAAATAATAATTTAAGGCATACTGAACTAGCTCTCCCAAGTCACCCGATAACCATCAAAACTGCAGATGTTAAATCTTCAAATTCAAAGTATCTATGGAAATCACAGGATCGTGCTAATAAATTTTTAAAAGGCATTTTTAAAATTAAAAATCATTAAAAAAATAGTCACCACCTCTACTTTTTTTTAATTTAAAAAATCCTCTTAAAGATTAGGGCCTAAGAGATGCTCTTTTAAAATTTAGATGACATTGGCCAGGTGCAGTGGCTCACACCTGTAATCCCAGTACTTTGGGAGGGCGAGGTGGGCGAATCACGAGGTCAATAGATTGAGACCATCCTTGCCAACATAGAGAAACCCCATCTCTACTAAAATACAAAAATTAGCTGGGTGTGGTGCTGTGTGCCTGTAGTCCCAACTACTCAGGAGGCTGAGGCAGGAGAATTGCTTGGACCCAAGAGGCAGAGGTTACAGTGAGCTGAGATCACGCCACTGCACTCCAGCCTGGCGCCTGGTGATGGAGTGAGACTCTGTCTAAAAAAAAAAATTTAGATGACATCACATCATACCTAAATACAAACTTTGCTTAAATAAAAGGTGAAGGCTGCACAATTAAACTATCGCCAGAGGAGCATCCAGTGCAAGGATTTATTTTGGGATGGAGAATGGCTTTCTAAACTTGGAAACAGAGACACGTTAAGACAGAGACAACTGGTAAACCTCATTAGATGACTTTTAATAAGCACATAATGTCAAATGCAATTAGAAATAGAATTTAAAGAAAAATCAGGATGAAAACAATGTCTATGAAATATTAGTGTCTTTCAGGTAAAAAGAGCACATAGAAATATATAAGAAGGATAGCAACACTTAAATTGGTCTTCGATTGAAAAATGAATGGGCTGGGTGTGGTGGCTCACACCTGTAATCCCACCACTTTGGGAGGCCAAGGCGGGTGGATCACTTGAGGTCAGGAGTTGGAGACCAGCCTGGCCAACATGGTGAAACCCTGTCTCTACTAAAAACGCAGAAATTAGCTGAGCATGGTGGTGTGCGCCTGTGGTCCCAGCTACTGCAGAGGCTGAGGCACGAGTATTACTTGAACCTGGGAGGCAGAGATTGCAGTGAGCTGAGATCACACCACTGCACTCCAGCCTGGGTGACAAAGTGAGACTCCATCTTAAAAAATATAAAAGAGAGAAAGAGAGAGAGAGAGAGGCAGAGAGAGAGAGAGAGAGAGAGAGAGAGATTTGATAACTGTACATTTAAACAGGGAAATCTGCCTTTGTGATTCATTCAAGAACATTTGCTTAACTCATCATAAATGCCTGGTATATTTCAGGTTCTGCACATACTGCTGACAGCAAGATTCACAATCCCAAAAATGCCTTAGCATTGTGTGATTGAGGGAACGATTGAACTCCCACCAGAGCAGTTTAATTTAGAAGAAAACATCTGAGGTTCACGCCTAGTAATCCCAGCACTTTGGGAAGCCAAGATGGGAGGATTGCTTGAGGCCAGGAGTTCGAGACCAGCCTGGGTAACAGAGCAAGGCCCCATCTCTATTTAAAACACACACACACACACACACACACACAAAGAAAAAATTTGATTCTTGATATTTCGACGTGTATTTTCTTGCTATTTTCTTCTTTCTTAGCTGCTGTGACAAAGTGCTGCAAAACAAGTGGCTTAAACCCATACACTGTAGACGCACACAGTCTGCAGTTCTGTAGACCAGAAGTGCAGCATGGGTCTCCCAGGCTGAAGCTGAAGCAGTGGTTGGGCTTCATGTCTTCCCAGGTCCATAGGGGAGAATCCGTCTCCTTGCTTTTCCCAGCTTCTGGAAGCTGGTCACAGCCCCAGCTCATGCCCCCTTCCTCCACTGTTGAAGCCTGCGATGGCCAGCCAAGCCTTTCTGTCACCTCTCTCCGGCTCTGACTGCCCTCCTGCCTTTTTCTTCCACTGAAAAGGACCTCGTGATCATATTAGTCCACCCACAGAATGCAGGTTCACCTTTTCATGTCAAGGCCAGGTGATTTGTAAACTTAATTCCACCTGCAGCCATAATTCCCTTTTGCTATGAAGTATGACATATTCACATGTTCCAAGCATTAAGGCGAGGACTTCTTTGGGTAACCATGATTCCACCTGCCGCACACAGATGGACTGAATCCTCAGCAACCTCTGTGTTGTTTTCTCTTCTTTTTCTCCTCCTCCTCCTCTTCCTCTACCCCTTCCTTCTTCTTCTTCTCCCTCTCCCTCCTCGTCCTCTTCCTCCTCCTCTTCTCCCTTCTCCTCCTCCTCCACTTCTTCCTCCTCCTCCTCTCCCTCCTCTTCCTCCTCCTGTTCTTCCTCCTCCTCCTCTTCTTCCTCTTCCTCTTCTTCCTCCTCCTTCTCTTCCTCCTCCTCTACTCCTCCTCCTCCTCCTTCTCCATCTACTTCATCTTCTCCTCCTCTTCCTCCCTTTCTCCTCTTCTCCTCCTCCCTCCTCTTCCTTCCTTTCTTCTTCTTCCTCTACTTCTGCTTCTTCTTCCCACCACCTCTATAGTTACTGCAATACCCACTCCCTGATCCCCAAATCCATTTAATACACTGTCCTT